CCTCCCCCAGCCCCTGCCGAGGAAGCCAGCTGTAGCACCAGTGAACACAGAAAGTAAAAGTGCTTTATTAAAAGTATTAACACACACAAATACAATACATTTATATACAGAGGGGCACACAGTACAAAGTGTTCTACTTTAACTGACAGAGAAGTTACAATTTCTTAATCAGAGGTTTGGCTAGCTTCTTTATGAGAGAAGAGTTCAGCTGTTCAATGTCACTTATCTTGCCATGTTTCTTGGAGGCGTATTTGTTCTTGATTGTCTGTGGAGGGATAAGTCTGATTAACTTTATCCTGTTTATTATAAACTCACACTGTTCCAGCTCCCCTGAGGCCTGGTGATCAAGCTGAGCCTGTCCTAGCACCCCAGACCCGTTCACAGCTGGCTGGTGCTGCTCCGGCAAGACAGAGCACTCCAGCTGAAGGGAGCAGGTCTGATCCAAGTCTGACCACAGTGGCTCAGCTACTCTGGCCTCAGAGCACCACATGTTGACACTTAACCACACGTACTCCCCATCTGCACAGTGAGACTTACCACCTGCTTGGTGAGGCCCTCATTCACAGTAATTACATTCTTCGCTAAGTGCTGCATAACAGGGAGAAGGTCATCCTCAGCATAAAACATGTAGTGTTGCAGAGTTGGTGTCTGAAAGGAAAGGAAGTCATTAGGTAAGCCTGCTAGAACAATCTAAGTACACTGGCGTTTTGTCTTCTGCTGGGCTTGGGCAACTGCCATCTCCTGTCTCAAGGGGAGGATTAACAGTTACTGCCCTGCTTCTGTCCCCTTGTGAGGCACCATGGGAAGACAAGAACATGCTGAGATACCACGAGAGAAGCAGAAGGCATGCGCTTGGCCCAGAGCAACCTTTTTAAGCTGGTGCACAGGCACACCTAGTCCCAAACTAGGAGGTGGTCTGACAAGCATAACTTACCCACTCACATCCATTGAGGAGTTTCAGAGCCAAACAAGAAGCAGCTGCTGCTGTCTTGGATGGAGGGAAGTGAACCATATCATAGTCCACAATGGACAACTCCATCAGGTACTTGGCCAGCAAGTGCTGTTTAACATCCACCTGCAGTACATCAGAGTTGAGTGTTGGCAATCTCCAAGGCAAGAGCATCCTGCCAAGCATTCGTTGAGTCAAGCAGGAAGAAACACTTAGCAAACATTTTCAGAGCTATAGGCTTAAAATTCAAGTGGCTTAATCACAGAGCAGTTCTGAGCTGTATTAGGCTGCTCATAGTCTAGGACCACTCCTTTCAGTGGCAGTCTAGCAGTCACCTGCAGTACCAGGCAGGCATTGGGGGGGTGGAGTGTCAGGCTCACACAACTGAAAGCAGACAATCAAGGCCTCCCATGTTGCTACATGGGAGACACATCTCAACCACACTGGCTGCTAAATTCTTGTGGAACTCAAAAGCTTTGAACTGCTTTAACAAGCTGCCACAGTCAAGCACTGCATTTCCAGATGCTGCCTACAGTAATGCCCATTCTCAACACTACCTGTCCAACCTTTGAAGCCCTCCTTAGGAAATGGGGAGGGAGAGGGTGACCCAGACCAAAGTCCAGGGCTTGCAGGATCTTGATCTCCATGTGGCAGATCTGGATCTTTGTGTAAGCGTTATCAGTTATATAGACAAAGTCTTCACTATTGACAGGAAAAATCTCTTCGTATTTGCTGGCAATGAACATAGCCGTGATGCCAATCAGCTGCAACGTCTTCTTGGAAACAGCATTGTCCTGTAGAAAGAAGCAGCACAGATTTGATTTGTCTGAATGACTTGGTTCAGAACACAGCTTTTCAAGGTAGCCCGTGTAAAGTTGGTCCTACGGCAGGATGTTCATACTGGCATATACAGAGTAACTGTACATCAGCTGTTACCTCTGTTGGCATCTGCAGGGGTACCAGAAGGCTTTGAGATCAAACCAGGGAGAGGAGGGAGCAGTTTTGATATATCAAGTCACCGTTCATAGCTGAGAGGGTTATATAGTGCATAGGGCTCAGCATCAAGTGCTCTGTTGGTCAGCTGGATTTTGTTACAGGTAGTGCATCTAACCACAGTGTTACTGGTCAGTGCTCGTCATGCTTTAGCTTAGGGGAAAAGCATTGGCCAACACCAGGCAAGAGACACTCACCTGCAGGTAGCGATCAATGATAGCAACTGTCATGTACAGGGTCTCCTGCTGGAGGCTGAACTTCATCTGTACTTGCACAAGCCAGTCTACAAGTATGGCACGCATGTGCCCACTGATTTCCTGGCCAGCCAGGTATTTGGGTCTGACAGGTCGAGTCTCCTGTGTGGAAGGAACAGGGTTAATAGATCTTGTCACTTCTCTGAAGCACTTGCAGTGCCTCACCCCTGTAGCATCTTGAGGCTTATCAAGGAGCTCAGGACAGGCATAGCCCACAGCTGTAGGCCACGAGGTTTCTTTGTTCACTGAAGGTGGGCTAGAAAGAGCATGGTACTAGCACTACTAGTCGACTGGTCTAACAACCAGCATCTGTTTACACTACCAGGTCAGTTTAACTTTACATTTAAGCTGAGGGATCACTTATTAGTGCCTCAGGAAAACCTGCAGGTGAGAGTGGATACCAGCTCCCAGCTGCACCTGTGATGACAGGTTCACTGTAATTGGCATCCTGACCTACTCCTACCAACCTCGAGGTCTCTCAGGTACTTGTAGATGTCCTTCACATAGTTGCTGCAGAGGTTCGAATCGTCATCATCTTCCTTGTCAACATCTTGGATGTCAAGCAAATCTTCAGAGAAAGGCTGACACACCACATTCTTGGGCATAGCCCGCTCACAGACCTCCATGGGGGATGGAGAGCAGAGCTCCGGCTGCAAGGAAACACAGGGTCAGCACAGGCAGCACCTCCCTCTGCGCCCCGCCATGGGCCGGGCGGAGGCTCCCAACCCCCTTTTTGGGGCACGGCATGGGGCGGTGACACCCCTGCTTAGCCCAGGTGGGGGCCGGGTGGTACCTGCTTGGGGTCCGGCTTGGGCTCTGTCTTGGGCTCCAGCTCCTTGGTGACAGCCCTGAGTGTCTTCCTGACAACCGGCTTGTCCAGGGAGGTGGCGGGCGCGGGCATGGTGCTGGGCTGCTGCCCATGGCTCCCATGCACCGCTGTCTTCTTGATGATGACGGTCTTCTCCTTTGACTCGGCGACGCGGTTGCCGATGTCTTGCAGGGCGGTGCGGGGG